TGATATATACACATGTAGAGTGATTTACTGACATTCCACTGTGATGTTTTGATTGCAGGTTGTTTATCCTCTTTCTGATCGGCATCAGCATTGCCTGGGTGCCCATGGTGCAGTCAGCGCAAAGTGGGCAGCTCTTTGATTACATCCAGTCCATCACCAGCTACTTGGGACCCCCCATTGCTGCTGTCTTCCTGCTTAGCATTTTCTGCAAGAGAGTCAATGAGCCAGTAGGTATTGTTCTGGCATGTTCTGAGAAGCCAGCCTGACACAGAGTTCCTATGAGATTGTAAAGTGACCCTTAGGATAGTCAGGCACTGTGTTTGCTGAGGAGTAACTTGGAGTCTTGAAGAAAACCTCAAATGCTATGAGTTTTTTAAGATCCTCTTGAGGATAAAGAATAAAGAACAGAAAGCGGTTAATTGGCAAAAAGAAATAAAGCCTCAGCAAATTGTATCAATACCATACATATGAACTAAAATTGAGAAATATTTTTGGAAGGAATAAATGTTTGAGGAACCTATTTTCCTTTCTCCTTATCATTTATTCATCTAGTAAGTATTTCCAGATGCCAGGCATGATGAGACTAGAATTAGCAACACAAAATGAATTAAAAATGTCTTCCTTCCTTGGCTAAGCTTTCAGTTGGGATGGGAAGTAAATGTGCAATTGTACAGTGGAGAGATGATGCTGATTTGGAGCTGTGTCCAAATTGCTGTGGCCAAAACAAGGCAGGTGTACCTATCCAGTGTTGTTTAGCTTGTTCTATTTAAGTTAGAATAAAGTTATTAGGAAAGAGTCCACAGTCTCCTGTACAGAGAGAGTGACTTGGACAAAGATGCTGGAACACAAACATATAGGACATGTTTAAAAAATACTGGAAAGTTAGCATACATAGAATATAAAGTATAGGAGTAGTAATGGCTAGTGAAGAGGCAGATCAATACTAGACAAAATCACGAAGACTCCTTCTGAGCATTCCTCTAAGTGCACGTTGTAATTTGTGACTGACCCACATGAGGCCTTCAGAAATAGACATGATTTTTTGGGTTCAGACTAATTAAAAAGACAGCAAGCAAACAAAGGACAGAAAGGGAAGAGAAAAGAAATGATAATGGAGGAAGGGAGAAAAGGAAGGAGAGAGGAAGGTTGGGAAGAAGGGAAAAAGAAAAGCATTAAAAAATTCTTGAAACATAGTGTCTGAATATTTCTATTCTCTTGTAGACTTCCATGTTTCTCATAGATGAACCTAAGATTTAATGTCAAAACACATAGCATAATTTTATGTTCTCAAACTAAACAAAAAGACTGGATATTGATAAGAGGGAGAAGAAAGAAATATCATGCATATTTTTATAGACAAGTGCCTTTTTTTTTTACCCACTCCTCCAAGCCTTAATTCCTTTTTCCATATCTTCATGGAGGGCAAATTACAAGTAATAATAATAATAATAATAATAATGATAATAATAAATTTTTAAAGAGAGCACAAATCATAATTAAATCAGAAAAAATTGCAAGTGATACAGAATTTCACTAAACAAAGTAATATGAATTTCACAGTATTTGTTGTAATATACAGTGTTATCTCCAAACAGTTATTCATATTTACAAGTAATTATTTCATATCTGACTAGAAGCTGTTAGTGATAGTAGCTGTAGGTGGAGAGATTCAAATTGTTTTTTAAGTTAAAAGGAATTGTTAGAATTAAGGCTTAGGGTTAATGATCTATACCTGTTATTAGATACATATTATATTTTGAATCCTTGATTTATGATCAAGTACTGCAAGCTTGGCTTAGTCCTGAACTCCAGTGTCCCAGCTTCAGATGCCTGGGGCTACCATCTTTCTTAATTTTAATTCTTTGCCTTAGTTCACCCTCTAGGAATGTTAGAGTGCCCAGGCATTTCAGGGATTTTGCATTAGTTAACTCAAGACTTTTCTTTCACAGGGAGCCTTCTGGGGAATGATACTTGGATTTCTGATTGGGATTGCTCGTATGATTACTGAGTTTATCTATGGAACTGGGAGCTGCATGGAACCCAGTAATTGTCCCACAATTATCTGTGGGGTGCACTATTTATACTTTGCCATCATTCTCTTTGTTATTTCTGTCATCACCATCCTCGGCATCTCCCTCATCACCAAGCCCATTCCAGATGTGCATGTGAGTATCTACTTGGAAGACCTTTCCTGTCCTTATTTCGCATATAGACTGCAATGCTCTTCGTTGGCCTTGGCTCCTTTAGATATCTAATACTTGTCTGATTAACACAGTGCATACTTACCATCAGCTTCATGTAGGAGGATACAGGGCAGGAAACATGGTACACAAGTCTAGCAGTAAGAAGAGTATGTCTTCAACAGAGTCTCCCAAGCCCACACTTCAGTGTAAGGACTCTTTCCTGTATCCCAGGGACAGCTTAGGTGCAAGGGAAATGAGATCACATGAGAAGACAAAAGACTACTGTGGCTCAGAAGCCCATGTCCAAAACAGGAGCTAGTATTTCCTGTAACAGTCCCGTGGTCAAAGCTTTTGGAGCTCCCAGCAAGGACACACCTAGCTATAAAAATCATGGCATGTAGGGAACCTGTTATGGGGTTTCTTTCTTATTTTTCCCAATTAAGTCACTAAACAGTTGTTTTAAGAATTTAAGATATTTTAAACAAGATGTCTTGGTCTTTTTCTGCTTCTACACTACAAAACCACAGAGTGGGTAAATTCTGAACAATAAAAAATAATTTAGCTCCAGTTCTGGAAGAACTGCATCTTGTGAGGAGTTTCTCACAACATGATCATATCAGCAATGGCAGCATGGTAAAAAGTATCACATTGTAAGGAAGAAAAAGAAGAAGAAGGAGAAGGTAAAGGAGAAGGAGAAGAAGAGAGAACCAAATTTCATCCTTTTATCAGAAAAATTATCATGATAATAGTATTAATCTGTTCATGAGTGCTGGTGATTTAGTTATCCCTTAATGTCACAATGGCAATTAAATTTCAACATAAGTTATGGAGGAGACATTCTACCTGAAGTATATTAATGTTTAGTTGGTTTAAGATTTCAAAAATTATAAATGTATTTCTTTTTTTTTTTTGTGTGGAACCAGGGATTGAACTCAAGCCCTTGCACTTGCCAGGCAAGCACTCATTCCACTGAGCCATCTCCCCGGCCCCTTAAATGTATTTCTTTACCTCTGAATGTCCCCATTGGTTTACTTTTTAAAAACATAGCCTTACCAGTCCAGTTAAAGATGATCAATTACATGCCTATTTTACCATAAGTAATATAGTCTTCTAACTCAACACAGACAACATTCCATTTTTTTCAGGTTTCAAGGGAACAGAGATACAAAGTTAACCCAAGGTCATATTTATTCACAGAGAAAGAGAGAAAGAGAAAGAGAAAGAAAAAGGGTTTTGGTGATGCTTTCTTCATGTGAACACAAGTACAAGGGTGTAAGAAATATCTAAGAGACACTGAATTTCTCTGTCAAGTTTTCAAGACAACAAAACACTGTCAAACAAAACTGCTTTTGTAGCTACAGAATCAACATCAAGTCAACTGACTGGATCTGTCACTGTCTTTATGTTGTACCAACAGCTTCCTCACATCTCAGTTTTTGAAAGTATTAGAGCTCCAAATGCATTGAGTTCTGTGCTTCTTTTTAAGGCAGAGTAAGGGCAGGGGAGATGGCTCAGTAGAATAAGGGCTTCCCTGGCAAGCACAAGGGCCTGAGTTCAACCCCCAGTTCTTTAGAAAAAAAAAAAAAAGGCAGGGTAAGCAAGATAGTTACCAAAGGGCATGGCTGATATGAGCACATTTCACTGAGTTTCAGACTACAAGCTTCTGGTGTATACTGCATATCAATAGAAACTGCCTCCTACTCTACCTTTTATAATATGGCTCCTAATTCTATATTTTACTTTTTAAATGTTCAGGGGATATTTATTTTTTATTATTAGTGTATGCTTGTGATGCCTATTAATGACACTCATTTGTGAAATGGGTACATCTACATATTACATCTTAATCATTTTTACTGATTAATTTGGAGAAATCTTTTCTCCCTCCCCTCCCATGCTCCTCTTTCTTAGATTTCCTCCCCATCTTCACAAAGTTCAATTCCCTGTCTTGTACTATCTTTCTTTTATTTTACTTTTAAAATTATTTATATTTCACATTTCTCCTATAAGAGAAATCATGAAGCATTTAATCTTTTTCATCTGATTTACTTCACTTAGCAATATGGTGTCAAAATTCATCCATTAACCTACAAATGACACAAATTTATCCTCTATAACTGAGTAGTACTCTATTGTGTATACAGACCATACATTTTTATTTATTCATCTGTTAGTGGATAGATAGTCCACTTCTATAATTTAGCTATTGTGAATTGGGCTGCTAGAACCATGGGCTTGCCTGTATTGTTTTTTTTTTTTTTTTGCCTGTATTGTTGTAATATGATGACTATTTGGAGAAGACACCTAATAGATAAAGGGCTAGACCAGATGCAATTTCTAATTTTAATTTTTGGAAGCATCTTCATACTGGTTGTACTAGTTTATGTTCCCACCAACAATGTGGAAGAGTTCCTTTTTCCTTACAACCTCCCCAGAATTTGTTGTCTTTTGAGTCCTTGATTATCAGTGGGATACAGTAGAATGCCAGTGTTGTTTTGAGTTGTATTTCTGTAATGACCAAAGATGTTGAATATTTTTTATGTGCTTATTGGGTATTTGTTCTTCTTTTGAGAAATGTCTATTCATTTCAATTATACA